CCATTAGTTTCTATGGACGGAAAAGAGCAGATACAGATAAAATGGTTTTCAATGCATTCCTATGGGAAATGCAGATTCGACCTACAAACTTTTTGACCTACGAACCACCTTCCAATACGGATTAAGTTCTTAAATTGAGACCCCACTGTAATTTGAAATAGTTGGGTGTTTGGAGGCCAAAAGAAACAGTGTATCATACAAGGAACAGCGAGGCTAGGTGCCTAAAGGTAACAAAGTAGCAAATCTGTGGCTGTCAGCAGGCAGCTACAAAGTAGAAATTTCTCTCTAACATGGAACAGGAAAAAAGCACTTTAAACTGAAGCTTGGCTTTGCTTAACTATATCTTTCAGCAGAAACAACCCAACCAACTTGTTTAAAGAAATAAATAAATGCCTTCTAAGAGAGGAAAAAAGATTGTGATGGAAGAAGTTGATCCCAAGGAGACACAACAAGGGTTACCTCAGGAAGTTGAGGGAAATTAAGTTCCTATAGCAGTGGAACAGGAGGGTGCCTCAGGGAGAGAAAGCTCCCAGGATTTTGTGAAATGGAAATTGGAGAAGGAGTTTCAATTAAGAGAATTACAGCTCAATGCTGAGGCTGAAGCCAGACAGTTAGAGGCTGAAGCCAGACAATTAGAAATAAGAGAAAGGGCTGAGACAGAAAAGAGACAGATGGAAATGGAAATGGAAATGAGAGAAAAAGAAATGGCCATGAGAGAAAAAGAGATGGAATACCAATTATAAATGAAACAATTAGAAATAACAGCCCTAAATCTTAATAACAATAATTCAAATGATAATGTAAATAATCTAATAAAAGTAGACCTGAAGAAATTTCTTCAGTTTAGAAAGGGGGATAATCCTGAAGCATTTCTCATTTATTTTGACAGGGCATGCTGGGATTTTAATATTACAACACAAGAGAAAATGATCATATTAAGATCACAAATAAGTGGAGAATTGGCTGAGATCTGTTCCCAGATGTCACAAGAACAAGCCAGAGATTACAAAGCCTTCAAGAAATTAGTTTTTTTGAGATTTGGGATAAATACTGAACATATCAGAAGGAAATTTAGACAATTAATTAAAAAGCCTGAAGAATCATATGCTCAATTTGGGGCTAATCTAGTCAGATATTTGGGAAAATGGCTAGAACAAGCTTGTGTGGGAACAATAGAGGATATGAAGAACATCATAGGTTTAGAACAATTTTATTCAGTCCTAAGATATTTAGTCAGGGACAAACAGCCCAAAACAGTTCAACGCACAAGTGAAACAGCAGATTTTATATCTGAAATTAAAAACCTGAGATTTTCTGAAATAAAATTGGGTGGTAGAAACTGGGAAGACAGAAAGAAAGAGCCCAGAGATTTCCACAAAAACAAACAGGCAACTAGAAACTATTTTAGGGAGAGACCCTCAGATCAGTACCAACAGAAGAATAAAAGCATTGAAGGGAAGGGAGAAAAATCTCTAGATCTTGATCAAAGAAAGGTGAAAGTGTGCTTCGGATTTGGAGAAAAAGGGCATTTTATTTCACAATGTTTAAAATCTAATAATAAAGAATTTAGTCAACAGAAAGCAGGGGGAATTGGGCCAAAGAAGGTTTACTATGTCCAACAGCAGAAAGAGAACTCTGAGGCAGTTCAAGATGGTGCTTTAACTGACACAACAGAGAGTCAGGAAAAACTGCCTCTGGTAGAAATGGTTCAATGCTACTTTGTAGAAAGCAACATGGAGTTGATGCAATGTTCTGGTGAAAATATTTACATTAATAATACCAAATATTTAGCATTGAGAGACTTGTGTTCTCAGATAACTATGTGCCATACTGATATTATTCCACAGGAAAAATGTTCATACTTAGGCTCTGAAAAATGTGTTTTACAAATATGAAAAATTAAATAAGCAAATAATATTGGGTATAATATGGATGGCTTGAATAAACAGTTCAGCTTGAAATACTTTGTTTGAAAATGCATGCAAGTGAGATACTAGTTTTGAATACTCTTAATTGGTTTTGAGTTCACGCTGTCTGTCTCTTTTCTTCTTTTGATCAGTATGACTAATACACTACAGTACGTGTCCTGTTGTTTGGTTCCTTTAGTAGTTAGCATATTCCCAAGCCATAGTGTGACTTTTACAGAACAAGGGCTAAGAATGGGTATGATCAGACAAGAAAATATTGTGTCTGATTGCACTGGAAAGGATTACTTAAAGAACCCCTCCCTTTGATCTAACAGCAATGGGTACTCCTTTTTGGGAATCCCTCTAGCTTGCCCGAAAAAGCGTACCCCTTGCTGCTAGATCGAGAAGGTTCAGCTTGGGCACAGATTGTACCTTGAAATGTGAGCCGTGAACCCATGTGATCACACCCCGTATACTCTTGATTGTCCCCAATGGATATCTTTTTAACTTGATCAAGAGAAGTCCTTTGCAATAGTATTCCATCAAATGTCTATCATAAGAAATATTTTTAAACTTTTTTATCTCATTCTAGATTTTGCTTTTAGTGCTTGCTTTAAACTAGTCAAGATGGTAGCATTGGCAGAAGAGAAAGGCACAAAGATTCCTGTCTTCAGCTTGTTTTACTTTCATGCAGGCATAATCCTCACTGGAATGTCAAATTAAAGCAGTAGGTTTTAGATGACCGCGTCATCAGCTACAATTTTGCTACTGGATCTGTGGGGATTTTTCCAGCTGACATAAATGGCAGTTATGAATGAGGAAGTCATGGGGAACTGCCATCTTCAATATTCTATTGACAACAGACTAAGAACTTGAGAATTCCATTGCTATTGCTCAGACTTCCACATGAGCAAATATATTATATGTGGACAAATACTTTGTAGATAGATTTAATATTCTTCTGCTTGAAATATTGGCCTTAGGGTAGATGCTTGAGTGACTGTCTTGTTCTTTGCTTCGGTTAGATTGTACTAGAAATAACATTTTTACATATCTTGTTACATTTTGTTCCAAATTAGCATTCTTATTGGATTTAGCTGCATTCAAAAAAATGTTTTCTGAAGTGGCTTATATCAGTTCACTCCCTCTGATGATAATAAATAAATATGTATACAGAGAGGAAGCTTGTTTTACAGTGTTGTCCTTGAGTATGCAGTAATTATATATTGAATTTAAGGTTTTAATGTAATATTTTAAATGGAACAATTATAGTTTTGACGAAGCAGTGGAATAAAAATGAATGTTGAACCTTTCCATTTGACATAGGATTGTCAACTTTTTATAATTGAAATTAGCATTGCCATTTAATAGCCTGTTTTATCCTCATTGTAAAGACAACAGGTTTGAGTTTGTTAGGTTTTCTCATTTCCTTTTAAAAATACTTTTTAGGTGCTGCAAAATCTAGTCCTGCTTCAAAACCAGGCTCTACTCCATCTCGTCCATCATCAGCAAAAAAAACCCCACCAAGCACCTCAGCATCTAAATCTGATAAAGATTTGGAGACACAAGTTATACAGCTAAGTGAACAGGTAATATTCCTATTGGTGAAACTTTACTGTCATTCAATGACATCTGAGGATGCCAAGACATAGCGCGAAGGCAGTGTGCATTTTCAGATATCCGTATGATTTTATGCTGCTTCTTTGGTTCTAACAATTTATATGCATGCAGAGCATGTAGACCATATGTACAGCCAAGATCTCGATCTCTCTCTTCCCCATCAGGTGTTGCTTGTGCCCCACAGCATAGTAGAGCAATAACATAAGCCTTTGCTAGGTCCTATATATGTATTATTAGACCACAAAAATGGTAACTGAACTAGAAATAAAATTAATTAAAATAATCACTCTTGAATGTGAAGCAGTAGAGACTTATAGAATTCTTTAAAATCAACTTATTTGTCATGGCATAACCCTTTTGATGAAATGAAGTTGCTGCAGTCCATAGATACTTTTGACATGACGATATGTTAATTTTAAGTTGGCACTATACTCATTACTCCAGATTCTCTTGCTTAGCTATGCAGGTATTAACACTGATAGAGTAACATTTGGGAGTGAATTGCTTCAAGTTTAAAGACACTGTTACTATTAAGTGTTGCACACTGTGTTGTGCACACTGTGTTGTGACCAAGCCTCTGCAATGAATACTATCAGTGGTGATTTCTTAACTTGTAGTAGTTTGCCTCCAAAAGTTATGCTTTGGCGTCAATGTCAGCATAATAACACAATAGGATTTTAGCTATTTTCATGACAGTGTGCATTTTGATTCTAAGTAATTTTTTTCATTTGACATTATGTTAAAACAATATCGTCCCCCCTCCCTGCCGCAGTTTTATCCCAAGTATTTTGATTTCATTTGACATTATGTTAAAACAATATAGCAAGAGAAAGAGAAGAGGAATAGAAATCTAATCTAATAACAAGAGCCCTGTAATGTTGGGGTTTAATTGCAGTACTGCAACCAAGCCTCTGCTCACAGCCTGAGTTCGATCTCAACAGGTTCAGGTAGCCGGCTCAAGGTTGACTCAACTTTCCATCCTTCTGAGGCTGCTAAAATGAGTACCAGGCATGCTGGGGGGCAAGTTGTTGTTTGCATAATTATGTTGTAAACTGTCCAGAGAGTAGTATGTCACTGTGGGTTGGTATGTAAGACAAAACAACAATAGCAACAACAAGCAAGTACTTCTAATCTATTTGAATAGAGTGTTTTGTATTGAATTGAATGTAAAGTAACTACTGAAGGAGGTTATTTAAGTATAGAAGATACAGGGGTAATTCTTTTGCACTTATAACTTCTCAAGTTCAGTAGGATGCTTTGTATAAATAATAAATCCGTGCTCAGGTCACCTATCAAGGAAATTTCTGGCTCCTTCCTGTTTAATTTAGGAAGTGATGTTGTTTCCTGTCCCAGACTTACTCTAAATAGCACTGAACTGAGAGAGCCTGTTTTGCTTTCTGTTTTGCTGCCACTTAAAGTATAGTTGAAGCAAGCAAGCATCCTCAACTTTATATAGTCTATAGATAATTAGTTGGACTGTGTTACTTGGCCTGTGGTGTAGATGTTTGTATTTTTAGTGGGGGACTTTTAGTGGGTGGGGAGTGTTTGGGGAATTTTATGTGTGTGCATGTGTCTGGTCTCTGGGTGTCTGTGAATTTCGTTGTATGTGTATATACTTACAATGACAATAAATTATTATTATTATTATAAAATTGTCTGTGGGCTTTGTAAATTTAACATCAGAGCAGTATCATTATTTTGTTTGCCTCTTTTGCCACTTCCCAATTTGATTTGGGAGAGGGGAGGTTTGTTTCCATGTGGAGGGATGCAACCTGTGGTGTGTGTTGGGGGAAGAAACCTGGGCCTTAGACACTCACAACTGACCTACTCCTGCACTGAAGCCCAACTGTCCTCAACTAAAGTAACACTGCTGCTGTGGAACATGATCCGGCAGCCAGATATGCTAACTGTTGTGTGGGCTTCTTGTTTGCCTTTGACCTAATTGTCCATCTCTTGCCCGCTAGCAGGATTCATATGCACTAACCTCTCGAGAGATTATCCTATTTTATGTAGATAAAATCCTTAGATGTGCTTGTCGGTGGAAAGGAATTCATTTAGAGAAATTACAGTATTAACATGTTCCATAAGGCTGCACTGAGAAGCCTAGGAAACCAGTTTCAAATGCAGGATTCTGATCTTTTTTCTGTGTTTTTTTCCTCTTCTTCACTGATTCAGTAGAATGTTCTGTTATCTCTCTTTGTTAATTATAACTTTTTTGCAGCGGTGGTTGAAGGTCCTGGAGCATTTTTTGTGATTGGACATTTTTACTATTGCGTGTCTATAGCTTAAAACTACAGTGTTAATTCCTGTCTTAGATTATGTTTGAGGGTGCTAGCAGCCCCTTACGAGGAAATTCTAAGAAGGAAAAAACAACCCAAATGGAAGTATAGATTTGTTCATATTCTTACTAACAGACTGGGAGCGCTCAGTCTGTCTAGCACTTAGCAGATGGTCAGTTCTTCAGCATAAAATTATCTAACATTTAAAAATGCTGTGTTTTTACAGGTACATTCATTAAAACTTGCACTTGAAGGTGTGGAGAAGGAAAGGGATTTCTATTTTGGGAAATTAAGGGAGATTGAGCTTCTCTGTCAAGAACATGGGCAGGAAAACAATGACCTTGTGCAGCGACTAATGGAAGTTCTGTATGCTTCAGAAGAACATGTAAGTCCAGGTCAATCATTTGCCTTTTATTAACCTGTATCTGTTAATGTGTGTGTGTGTGTGTGTGTGTGTGTGTGTGTGTGTGTGTGTGTGTGTGTGTGTATGTATGTATGTATGTATGTATGTATGTATGTGTGTGTGTGTGTGATAGCAGACTGTATCATGCCAAATAGATTTTTTCAACAAAAAGTATCGGATATTTTACAGCTTTGAAAATAGAATTTAATATTTTTTTTCAGTGATACTGTATGTGTTATTGATTACATTTTGCAGGATATCACTCATTTTTGTAGTTATCTAAAAATTCATTCCTTGGTCATAGTTTAGAGATGCCTTAAGTGATCAAATTGTAATTGCACAGTTGTCTTGAAGGTTTGCTTTTTGTAGCACACAAAGAATTGGGGGTGCATTCTGTATTCTTGTGTTAGGTCTGAGACATAACAGAATTCTGGGGTCAGTAACATATTGCTGAGAGAAATGACACCTGCAGCATTTTGGTAATTTCGGTGTGCTTGCCAGTAACATAGATGGTTATTATTAATGATAATCTTGGCAACCATGGCACTGTGGTGTTTACAGCACTATATCTAGAAATCTTGTGGTTTGATATTTCTGAGATGCAGCATAGTAGCCCTGTAGAAATAAGGTGTGGGAGGAGGGAAGGACCATAGCAGGGGCAAAAGAAAACAGTGGATAAGTGGTGTGGTGCCCTTCTGCAACTTCTCCCAAGATTGTCATTGTTGCCAAACAAACCCATTGTCTTACTTTATTTATTTCAACCTATAGATATGTAGAAGTTCTGAAAAGTTTTAATTTCACTATACTCTCATACACTGGATGAAAAATAAGTGTGCATGCTTTTGATAGAGAATGTTTTAGGTGCTCAAACTCTTTTTAAAAATTTTTTCAAAAAAGCCATGTGAAATAGTAGTAGATTTGTGGTCTTACTTTAATCTTATAGTAGATGGCAATACGCAAGTATTGCTCTGAGTTTTTAGAAGTCTGGATCCTGCTCTCAGTGTTTCTGAAATTTTGCAAATGTATCATGGCAATGCAAATATGTAGGTAGATATGTATGTACAGTGTGTATTTATTTAATATGCACCCTTTCTCCCAGAACTGGTGTCCAGAATGACTTTTACAGTACAATTTTTAAAAAAAGCATCAGTGGGCAAAATCTTATTTATCATCCTTGTTTTTATGGGACTTAAAGTTAAATGCAATTATTTCAGAACTTTTAGGGGAAAATCCTTTTCAATTCCATTGGTCTGAATTAGGAAAAGGTTATAGTTTGGTGTTAGAGCCCATTGTCGTGCATACAAAAGGCCCCAGAACCAATCTCTAGGCCAGGGTGGAAGCCACTCCTGTGTGAAACCTTGCAACAAGGCATTTCTCTGTGTTCTCTCTTTCAGTGGGGAGCTGGATTTTTATACCCACAAATTTGAGACACCATACAATATTTCATACTCTGAAATATTCCCCAGTGTCTTTCTTTCAGTTTCCCTATGCTCTCTTAGCTGGCCCTTGTGCCATTTTTTTAAAAAAATAGCTGACCTTACATGATTGAGCCATTCTGAGAGTAAGGGTGCGATACTACATTGCCTGTCAAATTTTGTTTCAAGATGACATCACAAAGCTTGTTTTGAGTAAGAGGGAAGTGAGAACCCAGTCAGTATCTCATTAGCCAGGCAGACAAACTGGCTGATGTCATACAGACAGCAGTTTCAATGTCTGCTATTTCAGGATGCTGGGCAAAGGCAGTGAGCATTGCTTGATTGCCCAATGTCTGCCTTTGAGATTCCACTCCCTTGGTGCTTTTACTCATGTTTTCAGGATCTTGTCTTTACATTCCTCTTCACATGCAAATTCTGTGTCTCCATTTAAAAAAAAAATTCAGAATCATGTGGGAGCTTGTTCAAAAGCCCTAGTTTTAACCACTGTACTATGCTAGGAAAAGACCAGAAGTGTTCAATAAACAATTCCATTAACAACATGTGTTCTCAACAGGAAGAAAGAGAAAGAATTTCACTGAAGACTTCACAGTATCTCGTTATTGCCTGTCCAGCTCCCCTGTACATCCTATCCCACACTAAATTATATTGTTGTATTGTTATCTTTCTTACCTTAAATATGCAGGAAAGCCACACAGAAGAGCCTGAAGGCGAGGAACAAGTTCACGAACAGCCCCAGCAGCAGGAAGAGTACTGATTATCCGGCACATTTGCTACTTTTAATTTTATGTGGGAACTTTCTTCTGAAGAATGGAACATGTGTGGCCTCAGACTTGAAACCAATCACTCTCAATCTGCCATTAACATAAGTGTATCATAGTGAGTGTCAGCCAGCCGCTGCATTCTGTGCCCATCCTTTGCCAAGACGTGTTTGCAGAAGTCCTCTGTCAAGGTATGCACCTGCCGAGATCTCCAGGCTTTGGTTCCAGTTGCTACCACCACAACTTCACCATTTGGCTGTTTGAGATTTGTTCAACTTTTTTTAAAAAATATA